TACATGGATTGAAACAACTGATTGGCTGTGTGCCCGAGATGCCAGTGTTCAGGATATCATCCAGAAACATAAGTGGGAAAATCAGTTTGAAATGGATCATTTGGCTTATTTGTACAGACACTGGTTTTATTATCGGTAACTGTTTAATATAAGCCTTTATCACATATATATGACAGAAAACAAGGAAAGGCATTTAACTCAAATGATAAGGTGGAGCTGCTCGTCATCAAGATGAGAGAATGAAGTTCACAGCTGCTGATTGGACATTTGGGTGTCTGTGCAAAACGCAGACAGATTTCAAATATCCATGTGAAAACAAATGTTTGTTCCTTACTGCAGAAACCACGGGATGGGGGACACCAGCATTAAATTTGAGGTGATCCCGGGGAAGAACCAGAAGAGTGAATATGTGATGACATGTGGGAAACATACTGTGCGTGGCTGGTGTAAGTAGACCCTAATCTTTGCATTTCTATCTGGCGAGAGCATAGCTGGGTGTTATTTATAGATAAGTTCAAAGCAGCTGTCAGAATTGCTTTGTAAATGAAGTCCATATTATTACAATTATTTTCCTTTTATTTAGTTTTTTTAGTGGACCTGTTTTGCTAATGTAACGCAGACACTAAAGCTGATGTGCCAGAATGTCATGCTAAAGAGAATGATTCTTTTAAATACAAGGGGGCGAGTCAGACACCAAGCGCACAAAGATGAAGCAGGTCTGATCGGAAGCAGTTTATTACCAGGCCAGGGAGCATAAAAAAACCTACAGAATAAAATGTTGTCTATATAGTAAAACAATTCTAAAACCCATAAAAATACAATTTTCTACATCCACTAAAATCCCCTGATGTAATCATGCCACATGTTCATTATGGGTCCACCAGCAGGCCAGGAATTCTTTCTCCAGAGCGGAGTCCACAACAGTCTAGTCTCCAACAGACAAGGAGGAGCCTCCTATCCTCCTCCTATCCCTTCACTAGGCCCATCGCATCCCAGCCCAGCTTGCGTTCTGCACCGGAGTCCATCATGCAATGCCACCACGGCTCCCCTCGCATCAGCGCCCTGTAAAATAACAAATAGGGGCCAGAACAATCGTCCCAGAAGTGTCCCTGGCTTATAGCCATGGCGTCCCTCTCCCAACCCGGCTGCATCTGGCGAACAAGTGGAGACACTACTCACAAATGCAGGAGGTATACTTCTGCCCTGCTGCTAATCACACGCGTTTGTCTCCCACTGTCGCCGTTCCTTGCTGTCAGGACTGCGCCGCCACGTCTCCTGATTAGGTGTTGCACCCCCACGGTCAGGCAGCGGGTCCCTCTTTTCACCTGGCCTGCTCATATCTGGGGCCTCTGTCCTCCCAGGGCTCAGCTAGCCTGCTTTTAAAAGGTCTTTACACAGCACCTCTGGAGACACCCATACCTCAGCGGGTGATCCCTATCAACTAATTTATCCCATTTTCAGCCATTCCACAGTGGATTAAAACAATGTCAAATAACACACTAAAAACATGCAATACAAACAGAATAAAATCATGCAAATAAAAACACTAAAAATCAGAATAAAACCAATATAAGTGATAAATATAAATTTTCACTGTGACACTAACATGTGAGTTTCAGTGACAGGTTATTTGTATTTGTCATCTTTGTAACTAGGCAAGAACAAGAGGGTTGGCAAACAGCTAGCATCTCAGAAGATCTTGCAGATGCTACATCCTCACGTCAAGAACTGGGGCTCACTGCTGCGCATGTACGGCAGAGAGAGCAATAAGATGGTCAAGAAGGTAAGGACTGACAGCTGCTGTAAAGTCTTAAGAGAAAGCATTGAAGATGAAGAAAATTGTTTTGGTCTCTAATATAGTTCCTGTGGGTTTTAAGTGTCTTTAGATAAGAAGATACCGTTTTCCACAGAGTCGCAATCTCCAGCTTTAACTCAGCATTGTGCATCATAGTTTTTGTGACCGATACAGAGGGCGCCTGTTCAAGTACACTGATAAACAGTGGATGCTCTACTGAATTGGAGCAAGTGGCAGTCAATCTTTTTCAAACCACAGTTCATTTTGGGTCTGAAAACAGGATGAAGAGCAAGAAGATGCCGTTTTAAGATGCTGCTTTCTATTAATTTATTTAGGAACTGGGTGTCTATGACAGGAAAAAAGATGTGAGTGGGTCAGTGCTGGAACATTTGAAGTGTCCAGCTAAATAAAGCTGGATCCTTTGTTAATTACAGTCGTAAGCCCAAAGTCACTACTATGCATAATAAAATAAATGAGCTTATGTGATGACAAAGCTCTGCTCCTAGAGTGTTGGTCAACAGCGGATGGGCTGCTACGTCATTGATTTTGGGTTTTAAACCAATGACTGGGATGTAGAATTGAACCAGTTTTCTGCACATATTGAAATGGTACTGCCATGTGTTGATGAGCTGAATAGCGTGTTATCATGAAGTGTCATGTGCTATGTCGTTATAAAATGATCTTACTTCTCAGGAGAGCTCCGACAAGAGCGTGATCGAGCTCCAGCAGTATGCCAAAAAGAACAAGCCAAACCTTCATATCTTGAACAAACTGCAAGAAGAGATGATTAAACTGGCTGCACAGAGGGTAGGAATGGTTCTTACTGGGATTTTAGTTCTAAAAAAAAAAAAAAGAAAGGGGGGGGGTAATGTTTAGCTTTATTTTTTTGTAAATAAAAAAGACAAAACAAAGGAGTGTAACTTCCAGTCTTTGGTTGGCCAGACTGCATGTACACTACCCAAAATCTTGTACTTGAGAATAATTGTTTTTGTTATCTTGCTTGTTGTACTTTAATTATTTTCTCTACCAGGAGGAAACGAGGAAGAAACCCAAGATGACCATAATGGAATCTGCCCAGCCGGGGAGTGAACCCCTCTGCACTGTCGACGTTTAAATCTCAAATCACTGATGAACCACAGCACTGAAAACCAGTCACTGTCAGACATCACACACATGCACACCCCACCATCCACCACTTAATTATGCATCACTGAGATCTAAATGGCAATATAGTAAAGGGTTGACCAGGCTGATATTACTGCTTACTTCCTTCACTTGTTTTAATTGGTTAAGCTGGTAGAAGTAAGTGTTGGACTGAACAGACTGTAGAGCGAATATCGTCTACCTCTCTAGATGCATCCTAATTACAGCAGTAGGAGAACCCCCCTCCCCCCCAGTGTCCAGAGAAGTGACCATTACTTGATAAGATGAACCACATCAAAATAGATTTGCATGCCTCTTAAAGTGGAGAAAGCCACTGCACACACTGGTTTTATTTTTGAAGGCTTGTTTTCACCAGTCATGAGCGCATAGTACCAGCAGCTGATAGTTTTCTCTGTGCTAAAAGTATTTGAAAGGGACTACTAATACTTGTATTTATACCGTTCATTTAATTGGAAGCAAAGTTCCTATTTTATTTGTTATTTTAATGGTAGGTGTTATGGATGTGGTGAGTGATGATTACAGCTGTGTGCGGTCTTGTTTGTCCCCAGAATTGACAGATGCTGTCTTTGGTTTGCACGTTGGCAACATGCGGTGTGAAGTGCTCACTGTTGTTACACACTCGTGTCCTGTCAGATGTTTTTGTTGACTGTTGCTTTTATTCCTGGAATAATTCCTAGTGGAATATTTGGGCTGACTTTTTCTTGAGGGTCTTGCCTTTTTCATTTGTTTCAGTAAAAGACATAAGCTAGAGCCCACCTGATGTCTTCATCGCTGATACCAGTACAGATTGTTTTATGGAATACGAAACTTCAGTGATGTCAGTCGATATTCTTAACAAAAATGCATGTTTGTTAAATACGACTATTAAAAAGGGACTCCTTCATTTAATAAGTAATGAATTTCACCGACTACTAACCCAGCTGTGAAGCTGGAGGTACTGTTTGGAAAAAAACTGTGACACCATCTCTGAATGATACCAAGCTACTACTTCTAAATTATCTTTAGTATAAAAGGGCACGCACATGTGCCCATACAAATATCTGACATTAGGCCTAAGCCGGTGAAGGTCAGGTTCTACAAGAGCTTCCTGCTACATGGTGACACTGCAGTATACCCCAAGCACAGGGACACAGTACTGTAACATGTTGGGGATCATTTCACTTATGCGCTTAGTTCGCACTTGGATTTTTATTCATATGCTAATGCCATGCACAGTTGCTAACCACAAAGCGCATTTCAGTTGCTTTTCATTTATATTCTTATTTTAAAAAAATCATGTTGGTTACATGTTGCCTTAGTTAATCCATTTCATGAAGGGCTCAAGAGTATATATTGTACATTGGACCTAAAACACCCTTCAGCAGGAAGTGGAAAGACCAATCTCTATTTACTTGATAAAGAATTTAAGATAGTGTTTTCAGTTAAAAATGGCCAAGAAACGTCTCAAGAAAATATGCCTACAACTCATCCAGATTTGTAGGATTCACCTGAATGGACTATTTTGTGTACGTTTGCCATAAATTTTTTTTTTTTCTTTCAAGGCAAACTTGTAAAATTTAGTTGGCACTGATGTAAACAACAGCGATAAAGTCATTCAGTCCAACAAGCTGATGAAACTGTGTATACCAAAGCTTATAGTCTTATGCATTTTATAGAAAACTCAATGTTGCTGTGAACTGAAGAGAATATGGACTAACAGGAAAATGCATAGACCCGTCACTTGCTGGAACAAAATGGAAACTGCTGTGCACTCAAGTATTTGCCCTGCGGTTTTTCTACAAGAGGACACATCTGTTTACCCAAGGCTCCTGTGATAGTACAGATCACTTTACGAATGTGCTTTCCCTTTGTGTATGTGTTTTCATGCAAAGCCCATAAGTGTCGGGGGAGGGGGGGATACTGCTTCCATGCGTTGCTGTTAAGTTGTACCAATGACTTGTTTGAAGTGTTGCTGCCTAGATTATGAAGTATGTATTGCAACCTGAGCTCCATGACTTTGGTGATATTTGTTATGCAAAATAAAAATGTCTTGACTAATAGCTACAAGAGCTTTTGTTTATTCAGTGATTGAAGGATCAAAACTAAAAAGGGGGAAGTGAGCTGAGGTGGTAATTTATTGGTTAAGCTTTTACTGTTTGGAATAACAGAAAACACAGTATTAGTTTGAAAATTAAACTTTAGGTCAAAGCTAACAAAGGTTCATGCAAAAAGACACTACAGTTATCGCTCACTGTGAAAACTGGGATTTAACTTGTGTTACTTTTTGGCTTTACAAATATGTAAATGACAATGTTAATTCTTCAGAGTACTGTGTGGATACATTTATAGAGGAGGAAGCCCAATTTGCCTATAAAACTGAGTCTTCACTGTAGTCCACTCTCTCCAGCAGCAGAATCATCTCAACATGCATGGTTTGAGGGAACAGATCCACAGCTATGGATCGCACTGGACGGAATGGGGCTCCATGAACTCTGTTTGATGGAGCTCTGCACAGACTGAAGGAAAAAACAATTCCACAGTTGGAGTCACATTTAAATTTTTTTTTATTTTGGCTTATTTTCTACTACAAAATTCACTTACTCAATGAAGTTGGTCATTGCTGCCTTGGCATTACATGATACATAAACCAGCCTCTTTAAATGCTCTGCTCTCCTGATTGCGAGTATCACCTTTGAGTCTAAGGAAACAAAGAAAAAATAATCATCTCTTACTACAACCATCTTAACCTGAGTAGATCTTTTGATCATAACGTGCACTCACGTAGGCCTGCTCGTGGTGGATCTACGATAGCAGTCGCACTGGATGAAACGACAGCATTGAGGATGTTGGGGAACACATCCTCAGCTTTTCCACAGTGAAACTCAACATTACTGAGACCTTAAAAACACAAAAAATAAGAGAGGGATGCAGCATGCATACAATTACTAAAGTTAATCACATCAATACCCCAACTTATGCGCTTTACCCAAACTAAATGCTACAAAAAGATAAAAGTGATGATGTTCGTGGTGCCTACCATTCAGCTTTGCATTAACTTTGGCGTCCTCCACTGCTTCCTGGCACATCTCAATCCCTATCACCTTTTTCACCCTCTAGATATAAAAGTGGGTGGCAAAAAAAGGCAACATGAAACCGAGTCAGTGTGCATTTGTCCTGCTTCATGACTAATGAGAAAATGCACACAACACCTATACATTGACAAAAAAAAAAAAAACCATTACCTTAGCCAAAGAGATGCCAATGGTTCCTGTCCCGCAGCACACATCCAGTACTATGCTGTCCTGATCCAGCTGGGCCAATTCCCCCACAGCAGAGTACAGCACCTCTGCAGCTCCTGTATTCACCTAGCACACAGAAACAGATTGTTAATGGAGGCTGAGCACCTGATGTTAAAGCTGGCAAACACAACTGGGACCATCGTCTACCATACCCGAGTGTCCTAGCCACAGATTAATAACAAAACAAACAAACATAAGATGAATGTATTAAATTCACAGTCACTCCAGCCTTGTGGGATATTTTTGAGTTAAGCCCTGTATTTGGAGAGGTTTCCACATTTTAGGAATGCCTGCAAAAAAAAGGTAAAGCATGGTGAAGTACAGTGATCTACTTCTGTTTGTTAGGCTCTGTGATGAGCCTTAGAAGAGCCTAGCTAGGGGGTGGGGAACTCCAGGCCACGAGGGCCTGTCTCCTGCAGGTTTTAGATCTCACCCTGGGTCAACACACCTGAATCAAATGATTAGTTCATTACCAGGCCTCTGGAGAACTACAAGACATGTTGTGGAGGTCATTTAGCCACTTGAATCAGCTGTGTTGGATCAAGGACACATCTAAAACCTGCAGGACACTGGCCCTCGAGGCCAAGAGTTGCCCACCCCTGGCCAGAGGAGTACCATTTCACCCCATCTGCAGAAGGATAACATGGTGAGATCAGAACTTCAGAAAAGGATTACCATGCCTGCGATAACATGTGTTCACTCATCCTCACAGAAAGAAATCCTGAAATATTCTAGTTGCAAACCAGACCTCATAACTTCCACAACATGCAGCTTCTGCTCTTCCTCACCTGGAAGAATGAATGCGGAGAAATCCTGAATTTCAAACCAAGCATTTCTTCTTGAATGCAGGTCTCTCCAACCACCAGCTCACAGGGGAGATCCTCTGGGTTTGGAGATTTCCTTAACAGGCAAAAAAAAAATACAAGAAGTTACATAAATAGAGTATTATTAAGATGACATTCAGTCATTAAATTCATACAGATTATGACTTACTGAGCATGTAGTTTAGTTTTACCTTTGGCCCTCTCTAACAAAGTACAGAGAGGTCACGCCGCTGTCTTTCCCCTCTCCTTCTGTGAAGTACTCCTTCATGGAGTTCTTTAAAGCACCAAGTTCCTCTTCTTCAAGTTTCTAAGAGTCATTAAACAAATGAAGCGAATCAAAAGGGAGACCTTTAACAGCATGGGGCGCTAGTTCAGTTTCAACATTTCATCACCTGTGGGTTGAAGAACACCATGGCCATGGCATGTTTGGTCCTCGTAGTACGTACAGTCAGCTGCTTCCAGTGTCCTTCATATGTCTCTGGGCTGTACACAGAGTATGGAGTTGTTCTGTTTGCAAAAATCACAGCCAGACTGAGCGATTAGTCACTTTTAGACAACTTGCTTTGTTTTTTTCCACTTATTTGTATCATATTTCTCAAATAACATGACATGTACATTATGAATTTGATATTTTTTTATTTAGGTTCAACTACTTTTTCCAAGCAGCTTTAGTTCCCCAAACTAAACTGTTCCTAGATCCTCACGAGCACACATAATAATACCTGATGAACTTTTGAAACTCGCTGACCATCTTCTTGGCCTCTGACGGCACGTGGCACGTGTCAGCCGGCCCCACCACAGCACAGGACCCTCCCTTGTATTTCCCCAGGCGGAAACCGATGGTTTTATCCTCGCCATCTGCACCCACCGATATGAGGAACTCGCACTTGTTTCTGTACTCTGTCTGTCACGATCGGAAACCGGGTCAGAAGGATGAATATTAAATTATATACAATATTTAGAGACATGAAAACAGCCGAGAGATCGTGAAACAGAATAAACTTATGTACGTCATTTTCCATCTCTAATTAGTTACTTTTTATTTTGTGCTTTGCCTTTTTTCCATCCTGTTTTTTTTTTTTTTTTAACTGTTGCATAACCACCTGCCTTTTATGGACAGATAAAAGCAACTATTCAAAGTATACCTGTGTAGGAGACGGTCGGAGGGCTTCCAGAGGACAACACATGTTGTTGTATTTCCCTTTCTGTGCAAACAGCCACGGCACCATGGCTTTGTTGGTGCTGCCGATCTCTCTGAAAGAAAACAAAGGTTTAACTTGTACGGACATGTCAGCAAGTCCCATAAAAAGTACAACATGACCTATAAATAACCCCAAATCTGTATTATATTACACTTACTTGGCCAGCTTCTGCAGAACCACCACCACCTCCTGTTCCTTCCTCTTCAGCTGCTCGTCATAAGAGATGTTCCACAGAGGTGTCACGACGTTGGCGATCTGGACACTGAGCGGCTCCTCATCCTCGTCCCCATCATCTGTTCGTTTGCATGGGGGCGCGCTCTCCCCCTCATTCTCCTTCCTCTTTCTCAAGATGGGGTCTGCCTTGGGTTTGGCCAGCTTGACACTAAGCACCTGGCCCTTCCACTGCATGCCATGCACCATCTTCATGGCCTTGTCGCGCTCCTCCTCGTTCTTGAAGGTGACGAAAGCAAACGTCTGCCTGCCAAACAGCTTGATTTTGTGCGGGTTGAGGCCATGCTTGGCCAAGAACTTCTTCAGGTCATTGAAGCCTATGAACCTGGGCAGATTCCTGATCTCCACTTTGTAGATCTCCGACGTGAACAGGTCCTCTTTGATGTAGCGGTACACGCCGGGGTCAGGAGCCCCCTGGCTTTCTCCTTCAGCCTGAACATCAGGCTTGGCAACATCATTTTTGGAGAGGTCATCAGGCTTCTGCTCCAGGGAGAGCGAGGCTGGAGTGATGGCCGCTGGGCTGCTGCTGATATCTGCCATCACTGTGCTGATTCCTAAAGCACCAAACAATAAGTAGGCCTATCAGGAGCTCGCATTCACGGAGTTAAAACGTGAAAAAAGTCTCATACTCTACTCTCAAGCCTGGTTTAGGGTATTGTGCAACTTTCAAATAACTGCTACAATTAATGTGTCACCGTGACTATGTAAAACAATGCTGTTACTCTACATAACAGTACATGCACTTACTGCTTTTCAGTAATTATGTTTTGGTTATATGGCAAACTGAAAGACTTGATGTTAGCTCGAGCAGGAAGTTACATTCTTTGCAGTTTCAGAGGAACGACGTCGGTATCTTAACGGAACACTTTGTGTAGTGCGCTGTTTTTGACTAGCGGTAACATTCCACGAGAGCTCCTTACCTTCCCGTACCTCTGTATTTACTTTCTGCTCCACTTCTATTGAGCAGGCGACGCCATGTTGATTCAAGCACGTGCAGCTTGAACTATGAACTTTGTTAAAGTGACAGGCATCCCAGCGGCTTTAACTTTGTGTACCTTGGTCACTTTCATAGATAGGAGGGTTAAGAAAAGCTTTGCACATCACTGTCTACACATTGGTTTACGTCCTTAAGGTGTTGTGTTACTGGTGTTACTTCATACTTCATGTTGTGCAGGGAGGGGGATCAGATGTCCCTCTATAAGGGGGACTGCACAGCATTTTTATGCTTTCCCCCCTCTCCCACATCTTGAACCAATGTCCCACATTTTACAGGCTCTGCAGGACATCCACCTTTCTAAACACTGGATTTTCCTTAGTACATATTTAGGTCATGCTTTTATCATGAACAAATATATCATTCTGTGCAATATAGTGGAAAATACCACAAAGCAGATGACAGATATACTGAGAAATAGAGTTATTTTTCAGTTTCACATAAGAGAAAAAATGGTGTGAAGCCACACAGTATATTTGGCTAAAGATTCATAAATTGTCAGCTAGTGCTCCAAAAAGACCTATGGATACATCCTTACTCAAACCTATAGACTGTTACCAGACAGAATCGCAGCTGAAATAACAAGGGAGAGTGAAAGCTTCCCTTTATTCTTATGGTGTTTACCTAGCAAGAGTTGAAAAGTCCGACATGCGGCTTATTGTGATCTGGTCACCCTGTGTGCATGTCTGGTATGGCTACTCAGCAGCCATACATTACAGGGAATGAAAAAATCTTTTCAATTTGTTATTGTTGCAATTGCATTCTCTTAATAAAACCCAGTATCTACAGTGCAGGCTCTCCTACCAGGCACGTGCAGAAGGGGGGGGGGGGCTAGAGGGGCTTGGGCACCCGCCCCTTTCCTGATGGGTGCCCGAAGTGCCCTTTTGTTGAGGCAACTTTTTTTTTTTTTTTTTAATTTTCTTTGTGTGTGTGCGTGCAGAGTCCTGTCTGTGCCCCTCAACAATAATATTTAACTATTAATCACAGTTTTGCCAAATAAAAGGATCTGGCTTGCATCAGTCACATGATCACATTTAACCAATGATCGCCCTTGACGGCAGAACGCGCTGGTTAGGAGCTGGGAACGAGCTCACAAAGAGCACACGCATTTTTTGTAGTCCGGAGCTGTAGGAGAAACACAAGTTAACTCAGAGACACAGACTGATGCGACAAAACCAGTAAGTAGGTGCACAGCGTGCACTGTAGTGTATAGCACCCAGGAGTATTAGCTTATTACGTACACGTTGGTAAGTTGTCTTGTTGCAACTGACGAACTGAAACAAACGAGCGTGCTGTGTGTGCAACAGCGCGACAAACATTACCTGTCCTTTTATTAACTGCACAGGTAGTGCTGGTCATAGCTGCGGGCTACCTGTGTAAGGCTGTCATGGGTCTGTAGCTCTGTCACCGTTTTAGGGAACATATTTAGTTTTAAAGTAAGTTTCCGGGCTTTTCCTGCCTTTCTGGAGGGATTATATTTCACTAAAAATGATCTAATATGCATGTCCACATAATAATTATTATAATTATAATATATTAAAAACACACGCTGTATTTTAAAGAACATACATTAAGAAGCAGATTATATTAGATTTATATTTTAAATAAGACAAAAGTTGGATTTTACAGCAGTAAAATGATTGTATCTCTACAGTTTAAAAATGTAATAAGCTTTGCCCTGCACAGAGTGGATAGTGAAACAAATGGAATCATCATAAATACATTATTTCATATTTATTACTTCCCCCTCCTCATTGCGTTATTATTGTAGCTCTAGTAATAAATAATAATGTAAGGATTCTGGATCAGCACCGTGATGCCCATAGTATATACAGTATTCTGAAGAAGGTCTAAAATGTCACTGTGCGTGCATGTGTGTGTTTTATTTAGATGGATTTTTAAAAAAAATATTACTCATGATATAACATTGTGCAGACATGCCTGGTAAGGACATGAGGAGGAAACAGCAGGAGCTGTGTGAGGCTACTAAAAGCAGGGCTATAACATTTTTCTGTCATCATTTTATTATAGATTAAGTGCAGGAGTTGTTAGGTGTGGATAATTAAATTATAGTTTATTGCAATAGCAAGTTGTGCCTTGTTCTCAGATGGACAGCAAGTGGAAAGTGATATATGAAAAGATGGGATGGAAGGAAGAAGAGAAGCAAAGAGTGATTCACAGGCAGAGCCTAATTTATTTCTCACAGTTTTTCGTTGCCTTATGGTTCCAAGCGCTGTCACCAATCTTTGCATTTTGTTATTATCTCATGACACTTGTTTAATTAATCAGCTACCATCTCTCCTGTGGACTTTTTAATGTCTACAGTCTCAGATCAACACAGCCCTGCCCTCCAGCACTATCCACAGCAACCCCTCAACAGCAACATTGTACCCATCAGGTAAACCATCAGCTACGTTTGCTTTGCCTTGTTGCCCATATTAGATTCTTGATGAATGTGTGTTGTTGTTATTCAGCCTGGTTCAATGTGCCCCTTTTTAGCTTTGAGCACCCGCCCCTTTAAACCTCTCTGCACGGCCCTGATCCACAATAACATTATACTACAATCTTCTGTTTTTAACAAAAAATTAAATGTTTTGCAAAACAAATATAAAGGAAATCATAGCAAAAAATTAATAATATACAAACAGTAGCAATGGCGTCTTTGAACAAATAATGAAATGACAAGTTACCCCTAAGTAGGACTCTGTGACCAGACTTGTCCAAGCATCAGTGGTAAGGGAGATTTTGGATGTGGCTTTTTTTAGTTCATTCCTTAGTCTCTGCACTGAAGTTTCATACTTTCTCTCCATCATGCTTGTAAAATGACGCTTAGACGGCAGAGTGTAACCTGGTTGGAAGGTGGTCAGCATTTCTTTGAATCCCTCACCCACAGCAAGTGGTCTCTTGTCTTTTAAAATCATAGCTAAGACGCTCTCAGTAAGTACAGCCACCTCCTGGGGGGTGCATGGTGTACTTCTTCTCTGACAGTAGTCCTCCAGACTTTTCTGTTTATTCCTGAAATCATAAACCACACACAGCACACAGATGAATTCGAATAATTACTAAATAATTATATGGAAAGCATAATATCAAAATAATTTGATAAGGATCTGGTATGTATAGACAGATAGATAGACAGATAGATAGATAGACAGATAGACAGATAGATAGATAGATAGATAGATAGATAGATAGATAGATAGATAGATAGATACACACATACTGTTATGCCATGTGCTTTCATAGCATAACAGTAAGAGGTTAATAATAATCCCCAATGTTGAACTTATGATATGCAGTAATCATGATGGCTGGAAAAAATAACGTTTAAACAGCCATAGCTGATGGCACCTTTACTGGTGCACTGCTTTCTAGTCATTAGATGGCATAACTTTGATCTATAAGATCAAGCTGGAGAAGCATTATGTGTAAAAACAGCGTTCAAATAGGATGAAACACATTAAATTTGACAAATCAAGAGTTCATTGTCATTTTGCTTTTGCAAGCACTTTAACAATGTTGTAATAGTGTCCACGACGGCTACGTTTATCAGGTGGTGCATTATCCTTGTTAACATTTCTCCTGCGGCCAATTCGCTGTCTCACATTTTTGTCTTTCGCCGATTCTGATAATCAGCCTGCGTGCATTCCGACTCATTTCGCCAGCATGGGCCACAAACCAAAAAAACAATAACAACTAGAAAAATTTGCATTTCCTGCGAAAATGCAGTGTGGATGCTTTAAGCTGAAGCTGCATGCAAAAACTAGCTGAAAAAGCTGAAAAGTTGCAGAAATTGTAAAAACTTTGCAGAAGCAAAGGAACTATGCTAAAATGGAATAACTTAGCAGAACTGCAATATCTTAGAGGAAACATAATACTTGGCAGAAATACAATAGCATAGCAGAACGTAGCAGAAATATTGTAACTTACCAGAAACATGATAACTTCTCAAAAATACAAGACTTTAGGAGAAATAGTATAAGATAACAGAAAGAATATATTTAGCCAGAAATACTTAAACATTACAGAAACACTATGATTTAGAAAAATAGTACAACATAGCAGAAATACTGTGTTTTACCAGAGACCCTGTGATGAACTATGAATATTGTAATTTTAAATTAAGACTATGTTTTAGCACAAATACTATAAAATGGCAGAAATACTATAATTTAGCAGAAATACTATATTAAGCACAAATCCTTTAAAAAGCATAAATACTATATTAAGCAATATAAATATCCTATAAAAATCCTATAAAAAGCAAAAATACTGTACTATGATTTGGTAGAAAAACTACAATTTAACAGAAATACTATATTTGGCACAAATCTTATAAAATAGCAGAAATAGTGTGATTTTAGCACAATAGTAATAACTTAAACAGAAAAATTGGAAAAGCAAAATGGACAGCTGAAAAAATGCTGAACATGCTGAGGGTCCCTCAAATATACTTGTTAAATGAAAAAAATATATATATATAACAGCCACACAATCAGAAATATGGACACATATGGAAACACATGCACAGAGAGACACACACACAGGATCCAATTCAGTCAACCAGTCTAAATATATTGAATTGGAATCTTACAATGAGATCATCCCATAAAAAGGCGCTCTCTCTCTCTCTCACACACACAGACACACACACACAAATAAGTGTAAGTAAGTGTTGTCTATTTAAAATAAAAATGTGAATTTTTAGAGATATATGACATGGATGACTGGTTGGCTTACAAGCCGTGAAGGCCTCAATATGCAAATTTGAATGCCTCAGCCCTCAGATATGATTGGCTGGCTGTGAAGCCGTGCAGGCCCTGATTTGTAAATTTGAATGTCTCAATCCTCACAGAGGATTGGCTGCCAGGGGACCTGGCAGTAATATATGGAAATAGTATGATTAAGCATAAATACTACATTTAGTAGAAAAACTATGTTTTAGCACAAATACTATAAAAAGCAAAAATACTGTACTATGATTTGGTAGAAAAACTA